TGTGTGTGTGTGTGTGTGTGTCTGTGTGTGTGTGTGTGTGTGTGCGTGTGCGTGCGTGTGTGTGTGTGTGTGTGAGTGAGTGTGTGTGTATAACACTTTTAAACAATGTGTGTTTATCTATATTAACACAGTGAAACTGGTGACTATAGATCTGATCGTTTTGTGTTGCCATGTTTTAACGGCGAATCAATTTCATGTATGCATGAAGTGCATTATGGGATAGGCCATTATGACATTAGAATATAAAAAAGGATATTTTTTCTGTAACGGTGATCAATGTTTCCTCTTCCTCCGCATATGGATTATCAATAACATATCGCCCACATTGTTGCTTTTGATTGACGTTTGTGTTTTAAATCATGTTCAGGTGGACATTTCTCCTTAAACATCGTCCTGCGTCGTTCTTTAATGGTGATGTATTGAACTTTCCTCACCATATAACCCAGATTTATGACAACTGTAAACAAAACATGGCTAAAATGATTGCTTAAGGAATATATCTGACGGCCATTAGACTGTCAATCGCAGCATCCGCAGATAAATCTGTTTTCAGAGCCGGACAGAGAAGAACAAACTGAACACAGACTAAATAAATCATATTGTTACAAATTGTTAATTTGTAACAGTTTAATAACATGTGACACACGTTTGATGTCTGAAACGGAAGTTTATTTGTTCGCTCGTCATGGAAACGTCAACAGGAACTTCGTTCTGTGTTTATAATCAAACTGATCACACGTTAAAAGAATATGAAAATAACACTCAGTGTTCACTTCTCTGCTCTGAATTAGTTTCACTTAAAACTCTCTTAAATGATTCTTGTGAAAGTCAAGATCTGACATTACAATCGAAAGACATTCAGAAGATGGAAACAAAGACAGATACAATCAAAAGAAGTCGGTATTGTCAAAATAACTGCATTCAACATTCTCTGGGAGTGTTGGGTTCAATCTGAGAAATGATTTACAGATGATGTCTGTATGGTACAGAACGAGAGAGAGAAGAAAAGATCCCCAATAAGTGTCATGGAAAATACATCAACATGAAAACATCAATGAAAGAAAATATATAAATAAATACAATGCAGAAAACGTCCATACAGTGTATTGTTTTTCAATAGTTACTTCTCATAGGCTGCATTTATTTGATCAAAAATACTGTAAAATAGTGAAATATTATTACTATTTAAAACAGCTGTTTTCTATGTGAATATCTGTTAAAATGTAATTTATTTCTGTGATCAAAGCTGTATTTTCAGCATCTTCAGTGTCACATGATCTTCAGAAATCATTCTAATATGCTGATTTGCTGCTCAAGAAACATTTCTGATTATCATCAATGTTGAAAACATTAATATTTCTGTGGAAACGGTGATACATTTTATTTTTCGGGATTCACAGATGAATAGAAAAGTTCAAAAGAACAACATTATTTGAAATTGAAATCTTTTCTAACATTATAAATGTCTTTACTGTCACTTCTGATCGATTTAATGCATCCTTGATTAATAAAAGTATTAATTTCTTTTAAAAACGTTCCTGATCCCAAACTTTATATATATATATAACTCAAGATATCAAAACGTAACATTGTTGCTCTGGAGCATTAATATTAGTGTGAGCAATAATATCACAATTAAGTTTGGATGTGAACACTTTTACAGTGTTTTGCATACTTTTAAAATTAATTTGTATTATTATTTCATAATAATGTCTTTACCGCCACTTTTGATCAATTTAACGCATCCTTGTCTGAACATACGTATTAATTTCTTAAAAAAGCAGTTATATACACACACACACGAAATCATCAAAACATAACATTCTTGAAATAATAATATTAGAGAAATAGGCTTTTATATTTTGGAAAACACTTTTAAAATGTTTTTTTTGCATACTTTAAAATTTTATTTTAGAGTGAAAACAAAAACTTTGCATGGGAAGAAGAAATCATGATCCGCTCTTTGGTAAATGTTGTTCAGACTGTTTTTGGGTGTTAAAGGCTCTTAACATTCATTTGCTTTTTAGCAAAAACGTGACGATTTTACACTTCTCTATGTTTATACAGTATATGCATCACACACTGAAAAAGAAACGACTCGAAGGATTTGCATTTGCATTTTAGCAAATCACTGTTAGACCAAATAGTGGTCAATATAATGTATCATTTATGCTGGATAACTATAAAACATCATTAAATGCAATACAAATAATGATTATAAAGAAGCTTCTGCTGCGTTTCATTGATTCATTCGTCTCTGCATTCGGTTCAGTCTTACCCATACGGCAAAAAATAGATTTTTTTCTGGCCAAAATACATTTTAAATGTATGCTAAATATGTTGTAAACAGCGAAGCGCAATGAGATATATTTTTGAAATTGAAAATATGCTTACTTTTAATTTTTTTTAATTCAAATGTTATAGAGAACAAATAAAGTTTTCATCATGGAGGGCAAAATATATTTTTAAATGCATTTAAAAAATATATATATATACACTTTTAAAATATATTTTCAAAAATATAACAAAAATGGCCAAAAAATATATGTATTTTGGAAGAAAATATATTTAGGTAAATATATTTTGAAACATATTAGCACGTATATTTTTTAGCCATTTTTTGAATATTTTGAAATATATTTAAAAATATGTTTAAAAATATATTTTTGGCCGTATGGGAATAGGATAGGAAACAAACAACTCTAGCGTGTTCTTTAGCAATACATATATAATGTTTTTATATTATCATCTATAAAACAAAATGCTGCAAGAGAGGAATAAGTGTTAAAGACGACGTGACACCTGGTTTTCAGCACGCACAGAAATAATAAACATTCATGAACACATGAATCACACATAAAATGACATCATTCATAAACGATATTACATGTAAAGTAAACACTGATATTTCTGCAGCCCTCACGAGCCAATCACAGCCTCTCCATGAGGAAACCCCGCCCATCTGATTGATTGACACAGGCTGTGTCCAATTAAACGCTCTGATTAGTAGACTTAACCGTGTGTGTGTGTATATAATAATTCAACAACATAAGCTAGTAATCCAGCCTTGACTCGCCATGCAGAAAATAAGCGCCCTTCTATTTACAAAACTAGACTTTCTGAAGAAAAACGTGACAAAAGTCGTGTTGTGCATCATTGCCAGGGTATTTCTAAGCGGTTGCTAGGGTGTTGTTATTGGTTGCTAGGTGGTTATTTACTCGAGTCCACCTTATCTTCTGGTCTGTAGATAAATACTCAAAAGAACAGCATTATATTCAGTAATATTTGCATTATATTCCGGTTACATTGTAAAACGATGCTGTTTTGATCAATTGAATTGATAAAAGCTTTGAGCAGATACAGCTTTACAAGAATATTCCATTCCTTAACATTAGTTAATCGTATTAGTTAACATGAACTAACAATAATACATTACTAAAATCAAATGAATTAATAATACTAATAGTAATAATTTTATTTAACAGACATGCCCATACAGCAAAGAACAAAACTATTTATTTTCTGGCTAAATATATATATGTTGTAAACAGTGAAACTCAATGAAATATATTTTTGAAAATTAAAATATATATATATTTAGTTTCAACCTTCATATACCAAAATATATTTCAAAATGTATTTTAGGGTCAAAAAATACATTTGCAAATATATTTCCATTTGCTAAATTCAAATGTTCAAACGTGTTATAGACAACAAATAAAGTTTTTCTTTAAATGTATTATAAACTGAAATATATGGAGGGCAAAATATATTGAAAAAAATATATTAATATTTTTAAAATATATTTTCTAAAAATGGCCAAAAATAATTACATATTTTTGGCCATTTTTTAAAATATATTTTAAAATATATTTAAAATTAATTAATTAATTAATTGATTCATTTTACGTAAATATATTTTGAAATTATTATTATTATTATTATTATTTGGCCATTTTTTGGTACATTTTGAAATATATTTTTAAAATATATATATTTTTTGCCGTATGGATGAGCTAACATTAACCAACAAAGAACATTTGTATTTTTATTAACTAAGGCTAAAAAAATCCTGTAGCGAATGTGTTAGTTGATGTTAGTTAATGCATTAACTAATGTTACCTTATTGTAAAGTGTCACCAACTTTCCTTTCGATCGCTGATCACCTCGATACTAACACTGATATCATTAGTTACCAATAACACCACTGAGCTCATGTCGACAGTTGTAGAAATAAAATCCACAGCAATCCCAACAAGCGTCCATTAGCGGAACCGAACGACCCTGCATCCTGACCGCTGACCTCTGACCCTGACCTCTGACCTCAGGTGCAGTGGGAGAGGCTGAGTTTGAGGACGCCGTCTGCGTGCATCTTGAAGAGCAGTTTGAACTCAGTGGGCAGCTGGTGCGACTCCTGCCACTTGGTGGTGAACTTGGTGCCCTTCTTGTCGTAGTAATGGTAGGGCAGCTCTTTGCCCGTGTTGGGGTCCCAGCCGAAGGGCCAGAATCCGTACAGATGCACCTGTTCACACAGAGACGAGGCCAGCGTGAACATCAGGATCCCTGTGCTCAGACGCTTCGGCGAAAGCTGCTTCGTCTTCCAATACCTGCAGACACACAAGACACTTTTCTGTTGACATCATTTCTGTTTTAATTCATTATATACAGTATATATATATATATACAGTGGTGTGAAAAAGTTTTTGCCCTCTTCCTGTTTTTTTAATTGTTTGCATATTTGTCACACTTAAAAGATTCAGATCATCAAACAAATTTTAATATTACACAAAGATAACCTGAGTAAATACAAACTGCAGTTTTGAAATTATGATTTCATTTATTAAGGGAAAAAAGCTGTCCAAACCTACCTCCCTACGTGAAAAATTATTTGCCCCTCCTCTTAAATCATGAAAGAACTGTGATTAACCACATTATTTTAGAAAGCTGAGTTAAATTTCACTAGCCACACCCAGGCCTGATTACTGCCAGACCT